TCTCGTAGGCTTCAAGTTTTTTCTCCATTGCTTCAGTTAGTGTCCAGGATTCAACTCCGTAATACAATATTGAGAAGATATAATATCGTAGGAGCCTTACTTTTATCTCCAGATTAAGATTGTGGCTTTTAAAGAGTTTGGCCATGTTATTGAATGCACTCCTAGCCTTCTCTATTCTACATTTTATTTCCTGTGAGTGATCCCATTGTTCATTTACTGTTGTTCCAAGATAGTTATACTGTTTTACTCGGTCCACTGGTGTATTATTGATAAGTAGTTGAGCGTCTCTAACTTTATTTTTGCTTATGATCATAAATTTAGTTTTTGTTATAGTTACTTGAAGTCCAAATCTTTCACTTACTTCATTTACTTTGTTAGGCCATCAGAATTATCCGACGTTGGCGATCACCATTGCAAAGGCTTCTCGATCTACTGCCACAAGAAATAATTCCGGCATTTGATTTCTGAGGCCATTTACCAATGTTTTTTTCTGCTTTCTACACCTATACTGCCTTCTATTTTACTTTTAAGGATCGGTTATAGTATTTAATATTAATTTCCTCCTCACTATACGTCCCAGATAAGACATTTTCCAGTGTTTAATAGTCTTTAGCAATTCTCTATCTTTGTTGCCTCTTCTTAGTACTTCGTTATCAAAAACAAAAATAATGTCTTGTATGAATGAAAAACTGTCAAAATAATATAAAAAATACAAATAAATAATTACGATGACAAACAAAAAGTCAAAGTATGGACCCAAATTATCATAGCCTCGTAAGATTCACTTTAATTTTTACGTTATTTTTTTTTAATAGTGAGAAGGTAGTGATGCAAATTATGGTAACAATATCTTTTGTTAATTTTTTTAAATTGCCGTATTGCCAGATTCCAGTAAGAGCCTAAGAAGGTACCCATTGAATTCTGACAGGTAACGGTGGGGGAAATCTTTTTTGGACATCTACGTCTCGGACCAAGACACCCTGGCATCTTTCGGCCGAGTAGGATACTAGGCCAGAAGACCTCAGGGTAGTGCTGGGTTAACCGTATTCTGGCTAAATCCTTAACAACCGTCCAGAGAAGTAGTCTTGCCACTCAATGAACAACTAAAATAAAAAAAATTTAAATTGTATAAATAACCATACCTATTACCGTAAATCAGAAAATGTTTCAATATTAACCATAAATTTCAGATCCCTGGCTCAATTTCTTTCCTCCTGCTCCTTTTTCTTTATTACCCCAGAAATCAGACAGTGTACTTCTCTTCATTCTTTCTCTCCTCTTAATAATATGTTTTCAATGTTTTTTTCATCCAACCCGAAACCCATTCGCCTCTCATTTGCCCATCTCTGGCAGTTAAAAATGTGGCGCGAGCGTCAGGTACCACACAAACAGAACAGTCTGCCGGCCAATTTGCCTATTCTATTTGTGAAGGTGCCAAAACTACCATGTCCGGTCAGAAACTGCGTCAGGAAGTAGTCTAGTTTCCTGAACTTACATTCTCACCACGGTCTTAGATCGGGAATAAGCTCCTTTGTCCACCTTGCCTTTTCGCTATCATTCGCCCATTCTCGCTGCCACTCTACTATCGTTCTTTCTCTTTCATTCTCATGTATATTTACATCCATCCTCATCGCATACATCTTCGCTCGTTCTTTACACAACAAATCGATTGGTATCACCGCTCCAATGGCATATAAAGCCTCATTCGAGACTGTCCTATATGCACTAGACACCCTGAGGAACATTCGCCTTTGCGAAGTATCCATCAGCTTAGCGTATTTTGCAGTATTTACGTGTTTAGTGCGCTATACCACACGGGGGCAACGTAGGTTACCACCTACTGGAAAACTCCATTTAGCACCTTTCTTTTGGTGCTACCAGGGCCTCCAATGTTTGGCATCAGCCATATCAACAACTCCAGATTTTGGTTCGCCTTCTTTACCGTCTTTTGGATGTGTACTCCGAACCTTAGTCCTTCCGACAACCAGATTAGCAGATACTTAATCGATTTAACCGGTGCAACCTCCATACCTTCCACTATAAAGCGAAGAGAGCATTTTTCCGGCTCCTTCTGAGAACTAACACCTCAGTTTTCTGAGGCGCTAGCTGTAGATCTCTCTGACCCATCTACTAATGCGACGCAGGGCTGTGTTAGCCGCATTAGCCATGTCCGTTTTTTGACTCGCCTTCGTAACCAGTGCAAGATCATCGGCATAAGCTACAAAAACGCATCCCCTTGGCATCTGTAGCCTCAACACCCCATCGTACAGGACATTCCACAGGATGGAACCTAGTACTGAACCCTGCGAAACACCCTGCGACAAACTGATGCTGGTATCTTTTTCTATTATGGACCTGTCAGTAAAGTATCTGTCAATTATGTTGACCAGGTACTCACTAACGCCCAATTCTCTCAGCCTGGACATGATTTGTTCACATGATACCTGTATTAAGTATGTCATCTTATTTCATGCCATGATTAAATGTTTTTGTTTCAACAACTCTGTCTTTTCACACTGTGTTTTTAACCAATTTTCTTTGCCCTTTCGTATTTCGATTCTTATTTATCTGAATATTTTTAACATTCTTTTGTTGCTCTTTGATTTTCTTCTTAGATCTTGTTAATGGTTTCACTATATATTCACATATATTCTGGAGTGATGCTTCTGGATTATATTGTTCCTCTATGTTACTTAGCTTTTCTGAAAGAATCATTGCGACTGTCGACTGTCTCTTTTGTTTCCCTATCTTTAAATTTTCTTATATCACGTTTTTTGTTACTATTCTTTTTTATAACCTTTTTAAATCAAACTTAAATTTACCAATATTAGGAACATGATCTTACGATATGTCAGCACCGAACTAACTTTTAACGGATAGGTATATATTACGGATTCTCTTGTTCACCATTATGTAATCAGTTTGATTTCATATTATGTTTCCTGCTTGATCTTGCGAAGAAGCCCAAGTATACAAATGTCTTGGTGGTAGTTTAAAGAACTTAATAAATATTGCAAATTCTTCTGCCTCTAAAAATAGTTTTAATCTGTCTCTCTTTTATTTCTCTTTCCTATACCAAAATCACCAATGAATTCAAAACTTTCGCTTTACCAGTTTTTGCAAATGAGTCACCAATAATAATAGTTATATCTTCTTTTTTAATTTGTTTAAGTGGATTTTTTAACAGCTCATAGAATTGCTGTAGCTCTTCTTTTGATTTATGTCTAGTTGCACTTGTAAAACATGTAATTTGACTGGAGTAGTATTCAGTTGGATTATTATTAATCTTTCAAAAACAGGTATAATATTTGTAACATATTAACGTAATTGAGAAGATACGATTACTTCAACCCCACACTTAAGTTGACCGTCATCATTTCCTGAGTGGTATACCATATGGTTGTCAACAATACAAGCACCATTATTTGGCCACCGTATTTCATTTATGCCTATTATACATACTTCAAGTCTGGTCATTTCTTGAATGGTATTATGAAGTTTTCCAGCCTGATACATTGTCTTCACATTGCACGTACCTACATATTTTAATAATCAACTCTGAAGTTTTTGGAGACACTTTTCCAGTTATGTTACACTGGTTTCTCTGGGTTACGATCTGGTAGGCCCTGTAATCTAGAGGTGTATTACCCTTCACTGCCAAATCTTGGCTTTTGTATTCCATGATTAGTAACTGTTTCAACTTTGGTTGTATTTGCCATGATAGCTTTACTAGGAATATCATCAGGGTTTAATGCAGTGGTTTCTCGTTGCTTTCTTCTATTCTAATACCATTAACCGCTTTCTTGGTCCTTCCATCTTCGAGACCAATTTCTGAATCTCAGGACAACAGAGTGTCCTTCCACTTACCCGCTCATCCGTTCGAAGCTGTTTGACAGTAAATAATGGATTGCTTATCCCGGAAAACACGTGGACGTCAGATTGGTTATCTAGCAGGATGCAGCAAATGACCATGATCTAGATCATAGCCTGGAATCTTATATGAATGACTTGGTTCATTCCCCATCACTTTGACCCCAGCGAGTTAATAAAGAGAAATGACAGCATATCTCTCTCACGAAGACTTTAACCAATCATAAACTAAATAAAATATGTCAAACGAAGCAATGTCAATTCTGTCAATCCAAAGTAATGACAGATCTTCCGTTTGTTTACAAGTTTTCAATTTTATTTTATTATCTTTAACTTCCGTTTGCATTTATTCTTAGTAATTTTAATTTATATTTGGTTACTTAATTTTTAAAGTTTATTTTGAGTTACCTATTGTAGCAAAGAATTTTTGTGTTGTGCTAGTAACAAAACTAAACATGGTGAACTATTGTATTGTTCGTTGGGTACAAATTATGGAAAAATTACAAAAAGGATGACAGTAAGTTGTCAGAAGCAAAAAATAATAGTATTTAACTTCTGCAAATATGTGTAATAAATATTATGTAATTATTTTATAACTGTTTTATCTTAAAAAACAAATAAATATAAATATATCTAGAAAAAATTGTGCATCTTTTAATATATCCTTATTTTCCAATAAATTTTAATTAGTAACGAAATAGCCCACAAGAGGTGCTAAAGGGTATGTATGTAAGGGGTGTTTATTCGAATTTGCCGCCAAAAGATGATTATTATTGACCCCAGCCGCAAAAGGGTCCTAATGAACAAAATTTATACATTGAGTTGCGTTCACGGACAGACAGACATGGATAATTCAAGGGGTCACCATTTTTTAAATGTTGTAAATGGATGAAAATAATACTTTACCTCTGAAATTAACTAAATGAATATTTTTCGCTTTATAATCTAAAAATAAAATGACAGGCTTGTTCTTTATAAATCAGGAACTATTTGAAGTTTAAAATGGATTAATACTGAAATATTATGGCAAAATACAACAGGTAAGTTTAGAATATTTAAATCTAACCTTAACAGAAACGTCAGAGTGACAAATATGGTGTTATATTATAAAGTCACAGTTTAAGGATGTCAGTCAAAATAAAGCAACTGTCATTTAACATTATTTTTATCCTATTTAGAAACACTTTCAAAATTATATCAGTTCATTATGTCCACAATTATCATTATCGCTGCACACAGAGTCAGAAGAAGAAATTATAGGTAATCAGCAGCATCACATAAGGTACTAACGTTATGAAAATATTTAAAAAACTGAGTTTATTGTATTCAATTACTTTAGACAATCAGCTAAATTTTAATTGATCTTTATTTTTTTGTTTTAATTTTTTAATTTGTTTAAACTTATGCAAAAAGGTAGTTAAGAAGGTATTCTTTGAAGTAATCATAAAACTAGAAGCCTTTCTTTCTGAATGTAATATAATTATTTTTGTTAAAAATAATTTTATTCTTATCTTACTACAATTTATTTTGCAATTATGATTTTTTTTGAACCTATTCTGTATCCTTCCATTGTTGGATATAGGTCTCCCCCAGTTCTTTCCATCTTTCCCTATCTTGAGCTGTTCTCTGCCATGTGGGGACCTCCTTGTTTCCTGATGTCATCTTTCCACCTCATCTGTAGTCTGCCTCTTGATTTCTTTGCATTGTATGGACGCCACTTTCCGATGGCATTGTTCCATCGTCCGTCTTGTAGACTTTCATTGTGTCCAGCCATTTCTTTCAGTTTTGCTGCTTGTTCTATCGCGTCTACTGTCTTTGTCTAGTTCTGATCCACTGGTTACGTTTTCTATCTTTAAGTGATGTATCCCAACATTTGTCTCTCCATCGCTCTTTGTTCCTTCCTTATCCTATCCAAATTGGCCTGTGTAAATGTCCATGTCTGTGATCCGTAGGTGAGCACCGGTATTATACAGGAGTTATATACCTTGCTTCGTAAGTATAGAGGGATTGTTTGATTTTTTAGAACGTAAGAAAGTTTGCCGAATGCTGCACATCCCATTCTTACTCGTCTCGATATTTCGGCTGTTTGATTTTTCTCTGTTAGCTCTGATTGTTTGTCCTAGATAGATATACTCATTTACCTGTTCTATTTTTTCTGTTTGTATTTTTATTGCCTCTTGGTCTTCCATGTTTGTCATTACTTTTGTTTTGTTGAAGTTATTATGATTAGGTATCATAATTGAAGCAATTATGATACCTACTATAATTTTTGGATATATGTATTAGGATATATTTTTTTCATTTTACTCTATTGTAGTTTCTATACCAAACAAAGGAACTTTCAGCAATGTACACATTAGAGGGTCGTAAATTTACTGAAGCAGCATCAAATTGATTTTAGCCAGTCTGAGAGACTTGCACAACCTTTTGAATTATATTTTGGTGTTACAAACCCATTAGAGCGAGTTGTATTAATTCATGAAACCAGGAACGACACTCCACCGTGCTCTAATGCTTTAGACCATCCCTTTCCCCTATAGCACTCTGATGCACGATAAGGTCTCATTGCTGCGCTTCTGTTGTTGATAAGTGATTGTCATGTGGTAGTCCTGGGTACAAAAACTGGATATGCGTGAGGCGCTTTCTTTCTGCTTTCTCTATTGACGTATCTTTAGAACTAAAACTGCTGCTCGGGCCTTGAGTGTCGGCCCTGTGCTACTCCCAGTTCGGCGACTCTGTGCTTAAGGATATGGGCCTTTTGTGCCCGGGTTTTGGGGTCATGTTGGTGTTTTGTGTTTTTTTTGGGTCGATGCCATTTTTTAAGTTTTTATGATTTTATTGTAAAGACTGCTTGACAAATAAAATCTTATCTAGTATTTATATATTTGCCAGTATGTGTTCGCTTTAGACGTTTGTGCTTCCATCTATAGAACGCATCATACCTAATTATCTCTCGCAATATCGCGCCTAAGTGGTTCTCCAGCTCAGTGAACTTAACTCTGTCTTTTTCGACCATCATGTCAATCACTCTTACTTGTTGAAGTTTTCTGAATAAGAAACGTTTAGCGACGTATCTAGGTAGATCTACTGCTTCAAGTAGGCTGCTGTAGTGGGCCACTTGTTTCTTGGATAATTAATCTAACCTTATTTTTGTTTTAGTACGTAGATTGTTTTTTTCTACCGTGCAAGTCCTCTTATTTCTGCTTTATCGATTGTTTCCTTTCCTGCTCCTGCTCTTTAAAGAGCACGCTTTCATTTTCTCGGAATTGATGGCAATTTTTCACTAGATACTCTATTTTTCAATGCTGTCTAGTGCTGTTTGCAAGTTGTTTGCAAATGTATTTGGTCGCAATTGTTGTGTCCTCTGCATAAAGGCTGAGTCGTGTTTCAGGTGTTCTTGAATCATCGACGGTGTATATTGTATACAATAATGTAATAGGACCGCTCCCTGCAGCACTCCAGCCTCCGGAGTTTGGAGTTGGATCAGGACTTGTCTTATTAGAACTCTAAAGCTTCGGTTGCCCAAGTACTAATAGATCAGTCATGTCATGGCTTCACTGTATCCATAGTCTCTCATTTTATATATCAATCCTTTATGCCAGACTCTATCAAAGGCTTTGCTGACATCGACGAAGGCTACTGCTGTGTATGAGTTTGGCTATTATGTACTCTGTTAATTTGAGTACTTGTTTGCTGGAGTAGTCTGCTCTAAATAGGATTTGAGCTTTTGGTATTAGTCCTAGCCGGTCTATCTGCTTGGAGTCTGAGAGTGATGACTATCCACAAGCTTATCGGCCTGTGGTTTTGTGGGAAAGTGATTTCTTCTTGGTAGAAATTCTTTACCTCTTTGTTTCTGTAGGCTTTTTTTTATTTTCAACTGCTTTTCTAGCTATTCTCTTTCCTTTTTTCTTCAAATTCTTTTCACTTTCCTTCATCTTGTCACATTGTTTTCGATCGCATTTTGGGTATTTTCTTTATCTTTTTGTAGTTTTGCCCTGTTTCTTCTTGCCAAAACATTCCTACACGTTTCATCGAACCAATCTTGTCTTTTTATATGCTCTCTTTCTTATACACTTTTCCGCTGCTCTCGACATGGCTGTCTGTATGGTCTGCTATTCTTCATCTATATCCTGTTTGACTGCATTCTCTAGTTTTTTATTTATTTCTTCCTCTATTTTGTTTACAACCTGCTTCTCTTGAAGGAGCTCTAATTGGTAATCTATCTCTTATATGCTTTGGTATTATGGGTAGTTCTTGTTGTAGTTTTGCTATTATTAGTGTATGGTCACTTTTGCGAAAGTAATTTCTCAAAAATAAAGATCTAACTTGTGTCAGTCAAATCATGTCAGTCGAAGTCGAAGTATTAGAGGAAATGGAAGGAAATGAGATATTGATACATGTTGTAAATTAAACAAAGAATAAGCTAAACGAATGATTTTTAACTCGATCAACGTAAAGCAACCATGTTCTGTACATTACTTGTTAAAATATTTTTTTTTTTATTTTGAATTTGCAGTTATATTGCAAATGATGATGTTTGACAGTACAAAACATTTTTGATCCAGTTTCTTCAATTGTAAGCTAACGTTCGCACCGTTATTACTGATTTTTGCTACTGTAATCTAGTAAGAAGATATTTCAATAAATTAAGTTAATTTAAATAAACCATTTTGGAGTTTGGAATGGCTGACTTACAGACCCCGACAGTTTTTAAAAGTAAATCTTCTTAAAAACTAATTATTTATCTCCACAAGTCGTTTCACAGAAAGGGTTGGATGCTCCAGGTCAACTGCTTCCTCTAGAATCAGTTTATGGCAGGTTCAGAAGAATTGGCTTGGAATCTTGCCATTTATAGGAAAGTGAGATTGCAGTAGGGTCAAGAACATTTGTTTCGAGTGTGATCAGAAATCGATCCAATTCATCAGAAAGGACAGTTAATCCGAAGCGTTCGATGGGAAATTTAATTTTGCCTATATCGTGAGGCATCCATAAAATAAAAATAGTACAGTTTCCGGTTGCATATTTATAAAATACAGAATAGTTGTTTATTTGACTAATATCTAAATAAAAAAATCGTTTAGGAAAACTAATAATATCTTCAAATTATGTTGTAGGATGGCATCTATTTGCAAGAGAACTGTTTCTGGGCCTCGCATCAGAAATCATGGAAGAAGTACATTTTGTTGAACAGTTTTTTATAAAAATGAAGACATTTTATGCTTTTATATCGCAGGTAACTACATTTTAAATACTTTGTTAAGATGTCAAAATTCATTCATGTCAAAGATTTTTTACTTTTTAACAAACAAGATAGATTAGCTATACGTGTACTTGAAATTAATAAATCCATTATATGTTGTCAGCTTTATGAGCAATAGTTATTTGTCCAAATATGTGAATTCTTCACAAATAAAAATATTTATATTTTTGTAATTGACTCTGTTCACAGCTGAACCAAATCTCTCTCTTATGTTTAAAAATTATTTCTTTTTTGGAGTGAGACAGTTTTTTCTTACTATAAGGTGTAAGGTGATTGAGTAATTATATTAATTACATAACAAACATAATGTAATTAATTAATTATTTATTTATTTAATTAATTAATTAATTTAAGTTAAATTAATTAACCAAATGAAATTAATTACATTATGACATACTTCATAGTCTATATCAGAGTTACTAAGTAAAGTACTACGTAAAAACCGTAAAACAAAGAAATTTTTAAGTCAAATATTTGGTCTGCCCATCTATGGTATCTATTAATTAAGGTTTGATATTGTAAACTCACACTTGTACCTGGGATCATTAAATTAAAAATAATTAAATCAGGTGGAGATAAAACTTAGATGTGAATTAGCAACTATCGGTATGGAGAAGACAAAAGTAAACAAAAGAAGAAAAAATACAAAAGAAAGACACCTAAATTTCACCAAACCTAACAGATCAGATGGGTCAACTGTTTAATATTTTTAATACTAACATACAAATGCAAATCTTGGACACTAAGACAATGAAAAGATTACACTGGATACCCGGAAAAGCTTACCGTGTCAACATAGAATGGCATAAAAATTTGGATTTAGGTTTTACTCACCCTCCACTTTACTTTTGGACTTATGCCATTGGTTGCTGTTAGTTTTTTAGGGATGAAAACTACACCTATTGAAACAAATCATATTGGTAATAGTAAATTTAAGCAAGTAATTAATTTAAATTATCTTTTATTGAAGTAAATGAATCTCAAATGAAAATTAACCAATATAAATTATGATTTTATTACAGTTTATCCCCTAAATATTACCCACTATATTATACCATTTCACCAAACTATAAATACAATAATTTTTTTAATATACATTAATTTTATTTGGTGTACTAATTGAGGGGTGCTCTTTACGATGATTTTGTCAAAAAAGGGACCAACTTTATTTTGAGAGTAACTCGCTTAGTTACGATGCCACAAATATAACCCATGCGTTTAAAAAATGCGGTATATATCCCTTTAATCGGGATATCTTTACAGACGAGGACTTTTTGCTAAGTGATGTAACAAACAGCCCCTGTCCAAATGATAAAAGTTCTAATAATACAAGAGACCTTCAAGGAGGTGAACATAACAAATCACTGTGCCAAATGAAAAATGACAGTTCTGTAGCTAATAACATTCAATCAGAAACCCCGTACATACAAAAAGTCAAGCAGGACCATCATTTTTTCCACCAAAACAATTTATGCCTGCATTGAAAGCCCAACCTCGTCAAACTAATAGAAAGAACAGAAAAAGTAAAAAAAGTATTATTGCCACAGATACACCTCAAAAACATATTATTGAAGAAGAAAAATTGGAAGCTAAAAGAAAGAAGCTAATAAATGAAAATAGACAAGCTAAGAAGAGAGTCCAATTTGTCAATGATGATAATACAGATTCAGAGGAGGATGAAATAGGTCACCCTTGAGGGTGACAGTGATAGTGGAGAGTATGAACAAGATCTTCCTATTTTAAATCCAAATTTGTTAAGTACCCAAGGTTTTAACCCTAACGTAGAACATTATGTCCTCGTAGAATTTCATCCACCAAAGTTAGTGGTATATTTTCTGAGGAAAATATTACAGATGGAACAAGATGGGGAATATTGCATATCATTTTTAAGACTTAAGGATAAATATAGTGAGCAGTTTGTTATGCCCAATGTTCCTGTTATAGCTTTCGTCAACAAGAAAGATGTGAAATATATTTTGTCGAGACCAAAATTATGTCGCAGCACAAAACGACAACAATGCTATTTTGTGTTTACAGTGTCTTTTTCTTTATTAAATGTCAGATAGGAATTATATCTATCTTCAGTTTTATTGTTCTTTTCAACTATTCTTGTGCTTTTAAACAATAAAAATTTGAAATCTTACTAAAGTTCCTGTAAACTAATTTTTATTATCTATGTTTAAAAATAAAGTAGTTTGGTTTCATGTGTTACGCAGCACTAGTTCATTGTGTTCCACCCGTGGGATACAATGAACAAAGACACTTAAAAGAAGAAGACCATATTAACTCAAAAACATTAATCTTTATTGATAATAAAGTATGATGTTTCTAGGTAGGTTAAAAGGGGACAGTTATAGACAATTTTAAATTTTGGATGGTTCATTGTTGAATACATGACATGTATATATTTATATATATATTATATATATATATATATATATATATATTTATATATATATATATAATATATAGTTCCTATAATACAGTTTTATTTTCAGGTGTGTTTTTTCATTCTTGTCGACTCGATACTAGAAAAGAACGGAGATTTTCGGGATCTAAAAAGTGATAAAAGCGTTATCATGGCACTAACATCAATTCTGTTTTACTCAGTATTCGGCTATTTTGTTACAAGAGTCAAGGATATATTTTCAAACTCACAGATTAACAATCTTCACGTCACTTCGATCTGGCGATCAACTTTTACACTGGATCATTAAATTAATTTTAGAGTGGGCCAAAGCAGTTGTGATAGTTGTTTGCTTAAGAGAACAAGGTATTAACTATAGTCCTAGTATTAGTTACAGTATTGTTACTTTTATATATTATCTGTGTACAGAGAAGATCTTTACAGAGACCCTACCAGAGGTAGTAGAAATATTCAACATAGATTTATTAGATAACTTGGAATACCTTTATGTACCAATGATCCTTAACTTTATAGCGATAACAGCTGCATTTGTTGCATCCATGTATATTTACTTCATACAATGTTCTAGTTTTCTTCTTCTGAGTATGTACTTTTTATTATATATACGTTTAAAAGATATTTACCATAATCAGTGGAAGCTTCTACAGATAGAGAAAGCAATGTTTAGAAGTTTTAAAATTGCTACAAGAGAAGAGATTATAGCATGGGCAGACATATGTGCCATTTGTCTCAATAGTATGTCCAAAGCTAGAATGACACCGTGTAAACACTTATTTCATCCGATGTGTCTAAAGCAATGTCTGAAGAGTTCTTTTCTTTGCCCTTTGTGTAAAAGTAATTTTCTGGGATCATATTGAATATAAATAAATTTTTTAATAAAAAATTTCTTGCTTTTTATTTTTGTTTGTTCGTAAAATTGTGTGTGTAGGGATAAGTTGGTTTTGCGACTATGTCCATTAGTCACAGATCATAAGTTTGTTAAAAATTTTAAAATGATTTTATAAATGAAATTTAATTCATATTAAAATTAGTTAAAAATCTTATAAAAAGGGCAGTGCTAACCATATCACAAGTCTAGAGAGGATAGCATAAGAGACCTATCCAAAGAGTTTGTTTTGACATTACTAATATAAGAAATAAACAACAATAGAAAGGCAATTTATAAACAACATTAAAACAGATAAAAAAACATTTATTATCGAACCAGTCAAAGTATTTAAATGGAAAACGTACGTGATGATGATGATTGCGTTTATTTTATTTTAACCCTTAACCGGAATGATCTCATCTGTGATATAACCTCCATTATACATTCCTTATTATCTTTGATTCTTTACTACTAACCTTTATTATAATTATTCTATATTAGCGATGCCTCTTAATCCCAAACCGCCTAGTCAATTACATTTTCATTGAATTTGTAATCAGTTCGAAAGGTTGTGCCTGCAATATAAGATAAAATAAATTGATCGTAGTTTGTGAGATGACACATGTTTGTTCGTGTTACTGAGCTAAGTCGATATTGTGAGCTTATGGATAGTTTATCGAAAAAAAGGTTTAGTTTGATCAAAGATTTTGGAGAAACTGTTATAAAGTGGTAAGAGATTGTTAGTAATGCTATTGATATAGATACTGTTTCATTGAATGAGCATATTGATTCCAATCACGAGAGTAATTGAGATTTATCGGATAAAACTATCAATAACATCGAAGGTAGTTTATATGTTCACCACGAATATATATATATATATATATATTATAATAATATATATATATATATATACATTACATACAATATATCTGGTTTTTTTTTAGGCGTTTACGCCCGTCCGGTAGGGATCTATGGAGGAGTATCACCGAGCCGCAAGCCCTTATCTCTTGCCGTACTGCTCCACCATAGGCCGATCAGATCCCAGCATATCTTAGTCTAAGCCGCAGATTCATCTAGAATTTTAAACTGCTGCGTTTAGACTTTTTGTTTTTGTACACCGAGCTGGGGCTCGATCCCACATCCACTGAAACCATTCGACAGTATGAAGCGAATGAGAGGCAGCCGCACAGCCCGCTGAGCTATCTGACCGACTCACCACGAATATTCAAAAGGTAAGATAAAAATGATGAGCACTATGAGTATCTGGAGAAACGTTCATATAGACTAATCAAAAAACATAATAACAAATACACAAAACTGTTAATAACAATAAAATATTCATGACAATAAATATATAATGGAATAGTTGATTATAAGTTGCATTACAAAGTCGTACCTAAACCACGAGATCAGGAAGATGATAAAGAAGGCAAAAGAAAAATACTTTGAAGAAAAATGCAAAGAGATCGAAGGCCTTCAAAATAAATATGATCTGTTTAACCTACATAAGAAAGTTAAAGAACTGACAGGACTAAGAAAACAAAATCTTACTCGTGCAGTTCTGGATAGACAAGGGACTACTTAAACACATACGGACGAGAAAGTACAAAGATGAGCAGAATATATCTACGAATTGTTCGATGATGAAAGAGGAGGTCCATATATTACAAAAGAAGAAATATTACACGCATTAAAAACAATAAAGAGTGGGAAAAGCCCTGGACCTGACATGCTTCCTATATAAATCCTTAAAATTCTAAATGAGAAGCATATTGATGTTTTAATAACACTCTTGAACCAAATTTATAGTTCAGGTGTATTACGCAAAGATTGGTTAACGTCAATTTTTGCAGTCAGCAACTACCGTATCATTAGCTTGATGTCTCATGTGCTAAAGATATATAAAAGTCATCCATAACGAATTTATCACAAATGGACATAGACGTTAATGATATACAATTTGGTTTTCGTAAAGGCCTAGGAACGCGTTTGCTCTTTTTTCATGTACGTGTACACCTACATTGGAACCGTATTTCTCCCGATCCGATATCGGGCGACGTCGGCTGACGTCGGATTGAAAACAACTCAAGGTATTAAATCATAGTGCCTATACTGCTTCCATGACGAACCAGTATAGGCATCTGATTTAATACCTTGAGTTTGTTTTTAATCCGACGTCGGCCGACGTCGCCAGATATCGGATCGGGAGAAATACGGTTTCAATGTAGGTGTACACTAATATATTGATACAAAGATGCCTGGATGTTAGTCAAGATATCTACGCCATGTTGTCACCAATTTTTTTTATTGCCTACTCAGAAGAGATCCTAAAAACGCTCTTGAGGTGAAACAGCTGGAATATAGGTAAATGGAAGCACCCATTAACAACATTAGATATGTGGACGACACTGTAATCTTAGCAGAAAATATTGAAGATCTTCAGAGAGTGGTGACAGAATAGCAGAGTATGGAAAAGAGTATGGTCTAACAATAAATATTAAGAAGACGAAATTCGAAAACTCAGAAAATAACGAGATTCTTCTAATAAATGGATCTAACGTCGAACAAGTGGACAAATATCTCGGAACAATGATTAACTCCACAAAATGATTACATTCAGGAGACCAAAATCAAAATAGAAAAGGCTAGAGCAAATTTCAACAAAATGAGAAGAGTGGTATCTACAAAGGATTTAAAATTGGAACTAAGAGTTAGGTTGGCTAGGTGCTTTGTTTTTTCGACTTTATTTTATGCAATGGAATATTGGACCTTAATTGCGACATCAATGAAAAAACTGAAATTATTCGAGCTGTGGGTGTATAAAAGAATTTCTAAAAATATCTTGGACAAAACACGTCACAAACAAAGAGGTTTTGAGAAGGATGAATAAAGAAATAGAAATTTTAAATACAATTAAAACAATAAAATTGGAATATCTCGGACATATTACACGTGGAGAGAAATACACCTTGCTGCAACTGATTACGCAGGGAAAAATCACATATTTTAATTAAAGATCACATTACATAAGTAATGATCAATATACTTACATTACATTAAATTTAAAGGAAAAATATTTTCTTTTTAATTATATTTAGCCAATTTAATCATATTTTAGTAAGGTATAGTTATTAAGTATTATTTAATGATTTTTTAACCATTAGAAAACCTAAAAAATCATTTTTAAACTTAAAAGTATTCCTTTAGTATAGACAACCAGTATTACAATACCAGTTTAAAGAAATCTGCAGTGTGTTCCAAAAATGTTTTTAACAGTAACTAAATTGGACCCCGTTATGCAACAAGGAACCAACCAACATTACCAAAGTTTTGAGGAAAATTAGAATAATGTTTAGATTGTTTCATGAAATTATTTAGGCATAAAAAAATGATTGACGACAATAAAATAAACACTTTTATTACAATAAAATGGTATTAATGATATTAGTAAAATACATAAGTACAATATGAACTCCTAGGTAGAAAAAAAATCACTTGGTTCTTTGTTGCTAAATGTAATATTAAATATCACTGTCTGGTTCGAAATCTATATCTCCATTAAATCCATCTATATCCTCTATTATAGAATTGTCTGCCGTTAGATTTGTATAAAAGCTGTGGTGTGCTGACGGTATTAAATGAGATAACTTTGTACGTCTCTCAACTTTGCGTCTGCAACTGGTTTTCCCTCAGGCCATAATGGTTCTAAAAACGTGTTGTACTGTGGTCCGGTTGAAGTTGTCTTCCTGCTACTTTCCGTATATTTAATTTCTTGGTAATCGTCATTGTCTAGGTAAGTCGTCTTCAAAAAAATATTATAAGGCTTTATCTTTAAATAATTTAACTTCTTTGGTTCGTAACCAACTTTATCTTCTCGTTCGTAATACTTTTTTTCTGTTTGTGATTTGTTTTTCTAATTTTGAGGGTACTGAGGAAATCTTCTTTTACCATCATATTTACATTAATAGGTCGCTTTTGTCTACAAGTTCTCATTATATTGCTGTATTCTTCAGGTGAAAATATATTATTTTGCTTTTTAAGAGCACATTCGACATCTCCAAAATCACTATCATTCGGCAGAAACGTATGACCTGGAACAAGGAACCTCAGCTAATAGTCTTTAAATGCTGTGATTCCTCCAAAAGACATTTTAACAAAAGTACTATTTTAATGTTTCTGTTTTGTCCACCGCAAGAGTCACTCCACAGAATAATATGCTGAAACTTTATCGCTTATGTTAGCGAGAATGTATTTTCTTAGGCAAGATCCACTTCTTGGGCTCCACGGCCTGCCTGTCCTTCTAGCCATAAATTAAATGTTGATTTTTTCTGTTTACCTGCATAAATTCCACAATTATATACCATAACTGTCTTTTGTAAATATAATATTTGAAGATATGCGAGGTAAAGGAAGCGTTTTTTTCTAAATCGAAGGTCAGAGTTTCTGTTTGCTCGTCTTCTATTGCCTTGGCCAAGTCAATATTCATTTGTTTTCTTCTAATTCTGCCTCTTCTACATGTAATTCGTGTTGTCTAACAATTTCCCGTTTTTCATCGTCGTTATATACTTTGTATCTTCACTTTAAATGCATCACATTTTTGCAAGTATCCTTTTTTGGCTTTTTTAGCCTCAAGTTAAAATCTCTTAAAAAAAACTTTTTTAAAAGATGAAAAACTTACAGGTTTATCACTTTTTGGTTTGTAAAGATCTACATTATCGGTAAAGTAGTTCCTTCCTGCAAAAATTCTTGATCCATCTTCCGTGCTCTACAGTAATGGGATACATAGCGTGGAAAATTGATTTATATGATTAAATATAATATTTTTTTCATCTGCTGAAATCTTGTTGTGTCCACCGCGAACACTCGTTTGTCAAGTGTAGACAAATTTCTTACTTTTTGTAGAGCAGATATTTATACGTTTTAGTTGACACTTGCAAAGTATTCGTATACATATTTCTACAAACTATAACCTTATTTATGAAATATTTCTTGAGAACTTCGTT